TAGATCCAATGGTGAACCTTTGGGCTTTTAGCATCCCAATGGGAAATCCATCTGGAGCAGCTGAGCTGCACTAAAAGCAGCATGTGCAGCTCATATGTGGTGCCGTCTCTGCACTGTGGTCTTAGTAGATCCAACCGTTTGGATGCCTTTTAATAACCACTAAACTTAGAAGAGCCTTTTAACCATTAATTGCTTAAAATGTGTAAATATTTCCAATTCACTTGTTTCAAGAGTTTAATGGGAACAAGTGACTTTGTCAGTTTGGCGTTGAAACCTGAACACTTGCACTACTCAATGCTCAGGTTTCTTTCTTTTTTCTTAAGAAAGACTGCTCTACATTAGACGTATTGTGGTTGGGTGTCTTTTGTTCTTTCTTGAGTTGAATCTTGTTAAGCATCTACAATTAATGACCTTTGGGCTTTTGAAATACTGGAAAGCCCCCATTGTATGATTAAAAAAACAACACAGGAGCAAGGTCAAAGGAAAAACCTTCTTTTCATCATTTCTGACAGAAGAAATATACTTTTTACATAGTAGTTTAGCAAAGGTGCATATTTCCAACACTACATCACACATTTCAGTTGATTTGAATAAGAATATGGTCTCAGTTGGCATATGATTGACACATGAAGCTTACAATATCAAACCAAAGGCAAGACCCAAGTAGACTTGAGGAACAAGGGAATCATCCAAAAGATTAATGAAGGTTGAAATAATGAAATCATGGGTATAAAAATGCACAGGGAAAAAAATAAATCATAAAAAAGAGTTCAGAGAATGCCAACTGGAAGAAATCCTTATCATGAGAGGATGAAATTATATTTAAGGATGAGAAATTGAACAAATGAAGCACAATTCAAGATTTGATGGCTGAAGGGAAAGGGAAAGGAAAGATGAATCACAGAATAAAAGATGCATTTCAAGATTGGATTTCAATGTTAGAAAGAATGGAGGAAAACTGAATAAATAAAAAACGATATGAGGCCACAAATAAAGTGAAATGACAGACAATGATGCCAGAATGAGATCACAAAGTCACGGATGAAACTAAAGAAAAGGAAGACGAATGACACAATGGCCATGATCAAATCCAGACAGAGAAGACGCTCACCCTTCTGTACACAATGATGGACTGAGGGTGAGGAAGAAGGCATGTGATTGGCTAGGCCCAAATGCCCTCCTCATCGTCCTATCGGTTAGTTCAGTCCAGCCGCAGCGTGAGTTCAGAAACAGGAAGTTAGTTTAGCAAAAAAGGGAAACTTGCGTGCAGAACAAGTAATAGTGCTAAAAATGGTTAACTTTAATTAGTAAATTTGAAGAGAAATAAGCTAACATCCAATAGCCCAAAATAGCAATATGACTTGCTGGAAAGTCTTTCATTCAAATATTATTAAAGAAAATAAAGATTTCACTGGTTTGGCCAATGCACACCATCCGGCGCAGTTATCTTACCTGGTCTGGGGAGGGTTTGTGATTGTTGGGCTGCTCTGAGTTTGGGGATGAAACCTTCAAATGATCATCCTCATAGTTGTCGGCCATCAGCTTCATCCTGTTCTGCGTCTGCAGAGACAAAAAAAATATATCTCATTAGAAACACATTTTTGTTTTTAGGTGGAATTTAGCACGATCATCATTATGACATTCGTGTTTTAGACGCAGCATAAACCAGTGTGTGTACGTGTGCGCGTGAAGTTAATTTGGAGAGGAGTAGATTTTTGAGTGAGTGCCATGAGCTTTGCCTGAAAAAGTGTGCATATGTGTGTGTTTTTGTGCACAAGAGGAAAACAGTAACAGAGGGCTTCCCAACTGTCCATTTGTATTTGAGTTTCAAAAACTGGGTTGGTTCATCTTGCACATTTCAGACTGCAAACACACGCAACCATCATGCAACCTGTTGTGTAGCTTGTTAACTGGTGCAGAAAAATAACAGGCTTGTTAAGTTGCCACTTGAGGGGAGATCCATAAAGACGTAGACAAATATTAGACTGTACACATACAAAGGCCTCCAAAACACTTTCATCTCCTCCTCCTCCGTATCTTTCTTTCCTCCATTCTCATTTCTCCTGTCTTTTCTCTGCAACCATCTATTTGCTCCTCGGATTACTGTCACATTCCCCCCCCCCCCCCCCTTTTTGTCCTCTCTCCTCGTCTTGCTGCTCCATCTGTTTCACATGTTATAGTTATACTTCAGGTTTTACAGTAGGCCTGCAAAGTGTGAGGGGTGAGAGATGAAAAGCAAGAGATGGAGTCAGTATAAATCTGTAAGTCTTGTATACTCTAAATCCCCGTAGCCTCACACTGAGCCCTGCAAGGAACAGGAGCTTAAGCAGGACAGGCTGAGGTTTTGTGTGTGTGTGTGTATGTATATATATATATATATATGTGTGTGTGTGTGTATGTTTGACAAAAAGTAAAAAAAAATTTTTTTATATGCATTTGTTTGAAAGCTAAATGAAAGACTGCACTTTTAGGAGTGTGCATGTGAGCAAAACGATCACGCGTCTGACAGTGTGTTACACTTGTTGAGTATCTGGAACTGCACAAACGAGCCCATGCCGCACTTAAAAACACCTATAAAGCAAACTCGCAGAGCAGACAGTTTATCTCCACACCACACAAGTTTGAAGATAAACACGCGCAGAGCTGTAAAGTCACCTTTATTAGTATCTGCCCTCCCCCGCAACCGTTTTTTTTTATGCTGTTGTTGTAACATATGGAAAGTTCATATGCACCAGACACTGGCTTGGGAAACACAAATTTAATGAAATTAAAAGAGCAAGTAAGACTTGGTCCAGACTGTACAATACACACACACGTGATAGTTGCCTGCAAAATATATATAAATACATATATCACTCCCACTTCACTTTATGTACATATGTAAAATTGTGTATTTTTTTATTTGTACACTATTGTTTTTCTCTTTTATTTATTCCAATTATTATCTCTAATTCACTTTTTCTTGCTGACCCTTGTGTTGCTGTAACGTGTGAATTTCCCCAGTGTGGGATTAATAAAGCCGGTGTCTTTGTTTGTTTCTATGTTCTTCTGAATGAAACCTTGGATAGGTTCAAAAGTGCTGTCGATTCACAACCTAAAAGCAAACACGCCCAACGTGGGGCTTGAACACACGACCCTGAGATTACGAGCCTCATGCCCTACTGACTGAGCTAGCTAGGCTATAAAGCACTGCTCAACATTGCAGGAAGATTCCTTTTATACATAATATGCTTTATTTAAACCATAAGGTTTAAATAAAGACCTTCTTCATTTTCAACACAGCTGTAACTGCGCAATTATCTCAAACATGGGCTTGACATAGCAGCAACACCCTGGAGCCTACCAACTGAGCTTGTTGGCCATCATAGGTAAGCATCTCTTTAGTGGACTGTGTCACACTGAAAGATGGAGGAAGAGGTCTCGTGTGTGGAGTCTTACGGTTAATTTCTAGAAATATGCCTACATGACTTATGCCAGGAGTTTGCCTCAAAGATGAAAATAGATAATAATAACCCAAAGCCCCAGGTTCATATGGAGCACGTGACATAAAGCTGAACAGACAGATGTGCCTCTGTCCTTAGGAAAGTTTATTTCATAAAGGTTGAGAGATCGTAAGTAAACATACATTAAAAACATTTGCTCCAACACTTGCAAAAAAGGCTCTGGGATCTGGAAAGCAAGAAACAAAAAGGAGGAAAGACAGTTAAGAAGAGGATAAGCTGTGTCAAGAAGGTGCCTGATTTCTGATCTCTTTAGTATCTTCTGTCCTACCTTTCTGTAAAAACACTTTATCTGTGTCCTGTCCTCTTTCTCCTCATCCTAGAGCTTTCTGTATCAAAATAATCCCCAGTTCCTCCCACTCTTCCTGTCTTCATCCCTCACCTCTGTCATACATAATACTTTTGAAGATTAAGTCTTTTTACCCAAGTACCTAACGCACTCCTTTCTGTAGTTATCGAAGCTCACTTTGCACTGATTTTAAGTGTCTTCTTCCCATCTATATCTGTGGCCAATTCCAGCTTCTGTTTGTTTCCTTCCTTCTGCTTGCAACATGTCCTCTTTCTCTCTTCTTGTTTTCCTGTCTAGTCCACTATTTCGAGTTCATTTTGTTTATTTATTTATTGTTTGTTTATTGTTTATTGCTTGAAGAGCCACTTGAGGCTGGCTCCAAAAGCAAGTCAATCCCAATAGATTGACTTTGGCACCTTAAATACTGATATTAAATGCTGCAGAAATAAACACGTTTACAGGTTGCTACAAAATGAATTTGGTCTTTAAAGATAAGCAAAAGTCTTTGTTCTTTTTTAATCGCAATTTAAGGCATGAAGTGGATCACCTGAGCATATTTGTGCCTTTTGGCACATTATTAATGCAATAATATGACAAATAGTATGAGTTACAGGGTGGTTAATTGTACAAACAGCCCCATCCTATTACATTTGTACCGTACTTATTTACATCGATACTCATAAGCAAGTCTTCATGTCTATGTGAAGCAGCTTTCTAATTAATCTAAAAGTGCGGTGTTCTGCCGTCTCGTCCAATTGTGGTAATTTTATTACTAAAAGCTTTTAAAAATGACTATGGCCAAAATTCTAAAAAAAAAGATTTTTATTAGTCTTTAGTAAAAATCTGTCTTTAAATGATATAAAATCTAGAGAGCAACATGCAAGAGGGAAAAAAAATCCTAAAAATGAAGTTGATGCAAATTGGTGAGGTGGAAAGACAAAGAAGAAAGTATGGCTGAAGAAGTGTCCTCATTTTCCACTTTGGCCTTTCTTTACATTTCTCCTCTTTCGCTAACTGTCAGGAATGCTGACTTCAGCTCATTTGTTCTTGTGCCAACTCTCTTTCTCACTTAATCTAATCATCACACCATTATTTCACTCCTCCTCCCTCAAGCTTCTCTACGTCTTCTTCCCTCCCCTCCGCTTCTCCCCCACACATCCTTCATACAGCTCGGTTGTGACTCGCTAACAATCGAAAGAATGAGAAACAAATGAAAACGAGATGAAGTGAGGGGGTGGGGGGGCTGCTGAGCCACGCTTGGAAGAAAATTATTTCATTACGATAACGCTCTGGGGAACATTACATGAGATTATTGTTTCGCCTTTCTCTCCGGTGGCAATAGAAGCGCCTTTGTAGATATCTGTGCAATTATCAACAATGAGAAGTTGCTGAGTCATGGTTTGACAAGAACTATTTCATCATGATAAGAAATTAGATTACTCTTAACCCATTTTATATCAAGAAAAGAAAATTGTTAATAAGTGGAAAAATACAAATGATAATGAATCGTGTTTGAGCTGAGCGCTGTGGAGATTATTTCATTGCAGTAAGTCTCGGCGGTGTTATAAATTTGATTAGATCCACATTTTTTCACTTGCCAGTAACACGGGAGGTCATCATAACTACAAACAAGAAGTGATGAAGAGTTTAGTGGGAAAACAGAGCATGAACACTATGAACTGTGATTCAGAAAAGAAGAACAGGGGCGTTATAGTATTAAAGATGTTTTTAGTTCACAAATAAAGTGGAGATAATTTAATTAGCAAAACAAAAATAGGAAATCTAGAATGTCAGGACATATGTTCTAAAATGCAAATATTTGTTGTGTAAAAAATATTTTAGTAAAGATTTAAAGATTAAAAATTTATTTAAATATGTTTTGACCCTTTATGTACCACATTATGGATGCGGACAGATCTCCTTCAGGTCAGCTGGAAATACAATATCATCACACGAAGAGCCAAAGTCTTAAAAATGTCCATATTACAGCCATAGAGGTAAATGGTAAATGGCCTGCATTTGTATAGCACTTTTCTAGTCCCTAAGGACCCCAAAGTGCTTCACACTACATTCAGTCATTCACCCATTCACACACGCATTCACACACTGGTGATGGCAAGCGACATTGTAGCCACAGCTGCCCTGGGGCGCACTGACAGAGGCGAGGCTGCCGGACACTGGCGCCACCGGGCCCTCTGACCACCACCAGTAGGCAAACATGGGGTTAGTATCTTGCCCAAGGATATTTGGCATGCAGCCAGGAGGCAGCCTGGGATCGAACCACCGACCTTCTGATTAGTGGCTGACCTGCTCTGCCACCTGAGCTACAGCCACCCCAAGGACTGAGGACCATAGCCACACATACATCCCTGACCTGTAACTGTTAAACATGTGTCTGCTAAAGGAGAGATCCTGCTAATTCCTCACCTCCACCCTCTTCTTTCTATTGTACCATTTCATAAAATATTACAAATATTAT